GATTCGTGCAGTTAATGACCTGAGTACTTCAAGTCCGGTGCAAAAACGCATGCTCGCACGGGCCCGCCCGGTGCGTTCCATCCTGGGTTCTTATATGAAAACCACGATTGCAGCCAATTTCGTGTGAGGTCTTTTTGAAAAGTCACCTTTGGGACTACTTTTCTATGTGACAGAGGTAACCATGATAAATATGAAGCATGAGAACAATAAGCACTAATTACGTGCCCTGGTGAACTACTAGGAGTACACTTATTCGCAAAAATTTTTCACAGGCGCCACTGCTCAAAACAGCTAATAGCATATAAAATTATGCTACAATTACTAAATGATCTGTCTTTCTTTTACAGGATGGCGAAATCATTTTTAAAATTGAAAATAATAGCAGCACAAAACCGGGGTCGCCAGACAGAAGTTATGCAGCAGAGACGCTGCTAAAAGAAGGGAAAAAATTTTGCGGGTGATAAATATTTAGAATAAAGTGCAGACGGGGCTGGAAGAAGCACTGCCTGCAGGCGCCATCAATCGCAGGCCAGTGGAAGCATCAAACTGTGTGCTGCATTTGTCTTCACTGACGAAACTTGCAAAAACCGCTTCAAAAAGCTTTCCATTGTGCTTCAGCTGGAGAAAATCCAGAGTGTTAACAAAGTTGTACGTTGCTCTTGTTCCGACCTTTCGGTTTCCATTCCACAACAGACTGCTTCGCTGTCTCACCAACTGCCCACCTGGTCGCCGACCTGATTCCCAGCACACAACCAGATCTGCTAGCAAGCAGAATTTGGCTAGTACAACGTTCAAACAAACGCTTGAGACATCACCCATGAATCCGAAGCCACCTGTGACCAGCTTGCTTCTCAGCCAGGTTTGGTTACACCTGACGCTGTTGTTCATTGCTTCCTTTCAAGCCCCACTCGCTTCTTTGGCAAATCACTGCCGGGCCAGTAGCCAACTGCCGTAGCCCTAGCCGACAGCTGAAAGCCTATATCTGCTCAAAGTTACAACCCCAAATTAAGCGAAGCCATAAGCTTTGGCACCTAACACTCCTCGCTTGGATCAAAAAAAAAAAATTACGGAGTATTGGAATCCTACAACTATATATGCCCGTGCAGCCGTTTATTTTACGCTTACAATTAACCGCCAAAAACAGAACGAAGAAAGCATGTGCCAACCGAAAAAGGCCTTTTCTTAATTCATTTTTATCGACCAACAGCTACTTTCCAGTAAAAAGAACTGCAGACATTAACCTGGGCGCGACGTTCGAAGCAAAATTCAGCGCATAGACAGTCTTATTTGCCACTACGTTATCTCTCGATTCAACGTACTTATGAAATTAATGTTGGTGTGCAGGAGAGCAGTGAGCCAGAACGAACACATTCTTTTCTTTCGATTTTGATAAATTGTGTTATTGCTTCTCATATTTCTTTCCTCCTAGTCTCTCGTTCTCTAATTTGTTCGACTTTTCAGATAATTATGTCCTCTGAATATATGTACATCATTGTTGGCTTCCAAGAAGCGGCATTCCACAAACAGATGGAACAATTTCCTTGTACTTTCCTCGTAATCCCGTAAAGAAAGCAAAGCACATCAAGCACTCGACTGCTAGACATCTTCTATTTAATAACATCTAATTTTGCCAACTTCCTGCCAATTTAAAGTCACAACTATTAACAAGCTTGAAACCACGTTACGAGACACAGTCATTATGAGTATCAACTTGGAGGTACGATAATATGAATAAAATTGTCGAGATATGAAAGATTTTGCGCCATCCAAATAAGTGGCGTCGTTACAGGTATCCTAATACCATGAGAAACAACTTCCTCAGCTCTTTCAATGTTTACGGCTTTCAGTGCATCAGCAACAGTTCGCGGTTGCTCTGATTCGTCATAAGGAGTTATACACGGCTGCCGAAACGGACAATCGGCCTAAACAATTTGCATCGATTACATTAAAACGGCTAGCTGTGACAGTGAGGTGGGAATTTCCATGCTGAGTTCGTATCCACCTTAACCGTCAAGTGCACATATACACTCGTTAAGGGGGATAACGCAGAGCTTTGACGAGAAGGGAAGGATGGCGATCAGCACAAAATTAAATAAAGCACTAGCAAAAGAAACAACAGAGGTGAAAGGCTATCTATAACGGCAGAGGCGAACAAACGTTTCTTCGTAATACCTGGAACTAGAAAGAGATGGATTCGGCTTATGGCAAAACCGAAAAAGAACGAAATCGACTACATCTCGGCTGATGCTTGGAGCAGTCTCAAAAAACGTTTTCGTACTATCCTTCTTCAGTATGAAAAGCAACCACCTAGCGCTGCCTGCAAGAATACGTATCGTCCCGGCTCATGGAAGGAGGATACAAGTGGCAAACTGATGGAAAACGCCCAGAGGAATTAGTAAAGAGGGGATGAAACAATAAAGCAGGAATCCGACTAGACTATTGATAAGGACTACAAATGATTCGGTGATAAGCTTCTTAAGTAAGCAAAAGAAGGCGAGGGTATTCGACTTCGACGGTTTGATTCAAGGAACTCCGTAGATACGAAAACGTTGTGAGAACAGAAGAAACACGAAAAAAGATAGACACATTAGGCAGAAACTGAAGGAGGAGTGAAACTATAACCATCGGAAGGCAAAGACATTTCAAAAGAAGTACCCTTAAGTGCAAGCAGTGGCGACACTGAACAAAAATGGGCGTCGGAAAATGGACTGGGGCAGGAATAGAAAATTCCCCATGAATCTATTTGCAGAACGTGCCAGCATTCCAGTACCTGTAATTCGGATCACCAAGCAGCAAAACCTTTCCACTATTTATCAGCGAATCACGACATGCAGCTCTCCAAATGAACAGTGAAAAGACTTCCGGCGATGACTGCATAACGTCGATCTTGACGGCACGGATTTTAGAAAGCTCATTCATCCGGCTCAATCGACACTTGGCCGAAAGAATATCAAATTGCTAGTTGGAAAGATTGGAAAATTGTTTTGCTGCATAAAAAGACTGACAAGAACGATTTGAAAAATTACCACTCAGCTTTACTGTTTCATATTTTCAAGATGTTGCTGAGAAAACAAGCCAGATTTCGAAGAAATCAAGGATAATATTTACGCTCTAAAACAGCTGCCGGGATGCGCGAAGAAGAGTTAACTCCCTTATTTTCTTCTTTTTTTTGATTACGAAAGCATCAATAGCGTGGAGTCAAATGCTGCGCCATCAGCTCTTGAAGGTAGAGGGACTGACGGGAACTATGTGGAAAATTGTAAAGAAAGTGAACATGAGCTGCTCGACAGATATAATACTTCCTTCCATTCCAAACTACTGAAAGGCGACTGAGGCAAGGCAGCCCCATATCGCCCCAGCTTTTTTTGGCTTGCCCCAAAATGACAGTTTGGAAGCTGGGCTAGAATGATGATATGGTGAAAAGTAACGAGCAGCTAATTCAAGCTTTACAGACGACATAGTTCTTATTGCGAGTAGGCCTCCCGTAATAAATGAGATGATGCAGGAGCTCAACACGAGGCAATGGGCCTGAAGATCAAAGCAAAGAATAAGAACGATGCAAAGTTCCTTCCTCTCAGACAACCACGCTACTGATACGTTAGAATGAATAACTGACAGTGAATGAACGTAAAATTCATGGACAAAAATAAGTGACCTGATAAATACGAACTGGAATATGGTACATTGGCCCACTAACATTCGCTTCCATCAGCTGTTTGTTTACGGCCCAAAATTCGTCAAATTTATCTGTAAAAAAGAATAGGCTTACGTCAGATTTCGAAACAAATTTAAGGATAAAAAACGGAATAAGTAAATATCATGTCGACTTACCGTGCACTAGACTGTTCCAAAGCTGTCTGTGTTCATCAATTTTCATTGAATTCATAACTTTCGCTTTATGTTTCAGTTGATCGGCCTCCTTTATTGACTGAATAAATGAGCTCTCCAGGCTATCCCCCTTACATCGCATAACTTCTTTGGGAAAATCCTGTTATGAGAGGATTAATAAATTATCTGAAGGCACAAACACACTACACAAGGTATTTGTAAACGAAAAAAGTGTCTCCACTGCCGAGAAAAGTTAAAAAAAAACAAACAAACAGGCTAATCTAAGAATGAATGAGCTCCTCACAGTTCTACAACCAACGAAAGACTAAACATGCGCAGATAAGGTGAAGAAACTGGAAAAATTTTGACCATTGCAACACCTACATCAGTCAAGAAGACAACATGCAATGCAAGAAAAGACACCAAAGTATCACAAGTAACAGGTAAGGGCGAGGGCTGAGGCCTCACTAAACCCTTTCATACAAATGCTAACATCTGGAATATCTGGAATAATTTGAAGCCTTAGGAAATGTATGTGAAATAAAGGCGACCAATTTTGAATGGCAGATTCTCGACCCAATTTTGTGTGTATGCCATACTCAGCAGAACCTTAGTAATAAAAACGGATGCATCAATTTTAAGGGCATTATTCTGCAGCTAATTCAGAAAAATGCAATACTGGTACCGAAAGACAGATTTCTGTCATCTAAAAAAGTAAGTGATGGTTACCTTTGTTTTCAAGGTCACTGTCCATGGCAAAAAGTCATCCTTTTTCAACAAATCGAATAAAACGCCTACAGGGTAGTGCCTGAAATAAAGTACCTAAAGGAACAAGCCACTGTGGTTACTGCTTTAAAAAAAACAAAATTTATGCAAAGCGCATACCATTTCAGTGGCTTCCCATTGTACTGCAGCCAAACGGTTTCCGTATCGAATTGGTCAACGACCGAATTAAAATACTGCAGCACTTGTGGTAGCACCAAAGGGAAATAACTCATTCTTGAGATCATTATCTGAAACAGTTGTAATATGTATCAGTGGGGTGACATTCTGAAATATTTAAGAATTTTTGCGGGTAATTAAAATAGCCGACGAAACGGCACCAGCCAGTTATAAAAACTGCTGCGAATCACCAAAATTTATCATTAGAATTTCTGAACGAATCTAATAAGCTTCGGATATCGTTTATTGCTTGCATGCAACATTTTGAATTTTTTTGGCACTCACACGATCAGCGAAAAGTCATCGGTGTTACTAAGCTACAGCATCTCTGTGCCAGGCCGTCCTGCTCCGAACTTCTTGCTGCTCCGTAGCCATGAAGGGGCTTAGTGTTGAGCGACTCGAGAAACTGTAGACAACTTTTGGCTTTCAGCAAATTTCTTGTACCGAGAGCTAGAACTTCCCGCCTGTAATAGCTACATTTACTGTGCGCACCCTGCAATAAATTTGACCTGTGTGGAAGTGTATACGTTAGATCAAGTAATTTACTGTTACTGAATAAGGTGAAACGGCAGGATGTACAAAAATGTATATCCTCTTGGGTAGCACAGTCTGCGAGAGCAAGTAATATTCACTGCTCAAGAATGAAGGAACTGTCCAGGCATACAGCTACGTAAGTGAAAGAAATCATCGTTACGAAGGTCGTCAATGCAAAACTACCCTGTATTCAAACTCATCACGCAATAATCCCTCCCAACTGGCGAATAACCAGCACTGATCGTGTTTAGACAACCGCACACAGAGATCGGATGCGTGAAAGCATCGTTTCGGGAAAAACACTGATATCTGGTGAGGCAATATCGCATGCCAGCTGTGTAAAAGTATGCCAAATGCATGTCTTTTTTAATGTGAAACAGATCGAGAGGAAGTTCAACTGAAGCACTAACACAAAACGGTTTTGCAGAACAGTGGTAGAATTCGAGTTTGTCCAGAACAAACTGCACTGGCACGCGACCATCCCACAAATTCCGGATCACTTCATAATCCTGCACCATCTTCTGGATAACTGCAACCACTGGATAAATGCATAGCGCGCCTAACCCATAATTGCTAGGCAGCCAATTCAGTCATCCTGACTAACAGATTTACGGTCACTGACTCATGTTTGCCTACCGAAAGCTTAAAACAACTTCCAAAAGAAGCCAAAGATAATAAATAGCAACGCGCACCACACTAGCCGGTGCGATCATGCGTTTTGTGCAATTCAGCCCATCGA